AAATCTATAAATCCATTAGTAAATCAAAACCCATAAATATTAGCAGTATTATTCAGGATGCAACTGTCTGTGGTGGACACGAACGCTACAGGTGTAGGTTTAGTGTAGTTGAGTTTAGTACGGGGTTTAAGTACCATTATATCAGAAGTGTTGTTGAGTGCCGAATGTAATCTAAATGTCCTGGGACAAATTTAACAACCAAATTATTCCATGGAAACACATGAAGGATCAATTATCATGTTTCAAAAGCAAGATAAAACCTCTGTTTCATTGTGTGTTTGATTTAAGACAAAGACTGGAGATATTTCAACTTAGTTGTCCCAGGACATTAGAATCTACAATCGGCAACCACAAGCGCTATCAATACTTTCATCCTGATTTAAGTGAAGTACTTTTTGAGTAGAAAACCCGTGACTAACCTAATCCTTATATCTAGTGGTAAAATCCTTACACCTGGTGAACGGGCGTGTCGTTCACACAACAGTTGCATGCAATGAGCTGTCTTCAAATTACACAAGGTAGCCCCTGCCCTAAAGCATCCCCTGCCTATATATATAGTGGGTCTGGTTTGACTACTAAAATATGGTACCATTCAGTGTATCTAATATATGGAACATCATTTTATTATGTTGTTGTATGTGTTGGTTTTTTAAACTATGATCATGTGGGCTTTGATTGTTTTGGCTTGGAGGTAACCCAGGTGCGCTAGAGTAGACAGTCTAGTCATCACTAGAGCTCATCTTAAAAAAATCAGTCCAGCATTGATTGCCGCCACCCCACCAATCTGACTTATGAACTGCAAGATCAACAATCTATCTCCTACCATATGTGAAGTCCTCCCTCTCTTTCTGCTGGGGTCTTTTATGGTAGCCAAGGCGCAAATCCTTCATTGACTACCATCTATTTAAAATGTACAAAATCCAATATTATAGTATATTTATAATCAGGAAATCCAATATCATTGTGTCTTACAACCCAAAATGTGACGGGTCTTACGTCACATGAACTATACTAGATCTTCAACAAACTCTATCAATCAACTGATATCAAAAACAACAACCCTAATAGTATATTCTCTGTGTAACCCTTGTACATATGCAAGTTAGCATCTGTCAGTTTTCTAAATCCTGGGGACTCATACTGTACATTTCAAATATAAAACTTTGGCACTGAACATTTCTGGGCTGACAGTGGCTGGACTAAATGTTTGTCGGGTAGTACAGTTGAACCAGATGTTGTTGGTTGGAATCAGTGGGTTAGGATTGTCTCTGTGATTGGCTGATGGATGCTGAGCTTTGTTCTTCTCACCGTGCTGCTGACCAACATGAGTGGACCAAAATAAAACCTCGGAGATACAGCACGGCACAAAAAATCATTCAAAGACAAAGCAGCCTTTTTTCTATTTAACTACCTGTTCAGATAAGAGTGCGAGGGAAAAACATTCCTTTCCACAGGACGATATGAATGATAAAGTGGATATAATATCCACTGGAAGAGAGGGAATTGAATTGCAGCTGCTGAATCATAAAAATATCAAACTAAATAAAAAACAACATGCCAAGAGCTGCCTGAATAGAAATGAGCTGGTAGACTCAACTTCAAACTCAATTTTTTCCCAGACTTCCTTTCATCAGATGTAATAAATCAAAATAGATTTTTCTGTGTCGGCTGATGGAATCCAATAAGGTTTGGTGATGCCGATGGTAAACTCATGTGCAGGTATGAAACTTAAAATCAGGTCCAGAAGCAATTCTCTCAGAACAACCTGAGTCTGAAAGCAGCTCCTGATAAACAGCACGTCACACTTTAAAGCTCCATTAAACTGCTGTTAACAGCGTCGCCAATGGCCGTCCAGTGAACTGCAGCCTGCGTTCTTCTGCTTGTATACACAATCCGTAGTGTGGAACTCATTGGGATATATTCAGTGGTTAAAGCTAGCTCATTTTAGCGAGCTAATGTAGTGAAATACTGTGAGCTAGCTTCACTCAGACCCCCGGGG